GGGATGCTTTTTAGTGTTAAAAAATTAAACACACGTGGGTGTGACCACTTAAAATCAAATGTATTCACAGTATGACCATCTAAAATTCCCCAGTATACAAATACTAAAGCTATTATAAATAACCAATTTGTATAAATTCACATAAGGTGTTCAAACGTGTTACACTTTTTACTGCGGTTGCTCATATCTGATTGCGTACATTATTCATGGGGTGCATTTGTATTACGGGGTTAATGATTTAAAAAGAGAGGCTCTAAACATTTGCTGGTCTTAAATTCAGTTTAAATTTGCATTTAATAATAATTTGCATTTAAATTGATGAAAGGATGATGATATTTGCCGGACTCCTCGTATCTTGAGAGCTATACATCATCCTATCCTATTTCTTCAAAAATGTATATATTGAATACTATTGGTAAAATTAGACTGCCAATATAAAGAATCTCCTTATTATTTTTCGTACATACAGAGTCTGTACTTAATGTTTAATTGTTCACTAGGACAATGAGTTTTTTTTATTACAAACTACAACCATAAGTCCATAGCTTGAAATTCGCTAGTTCCTACTTTTAGATACATATTGTTTGAATAGGTTACTATGACGTATAAGTTATTTACATTCCTGATCACCACGGTGTTCTCTGTGTAAACATGTACACAAACTATTCAATTGCAGGAATTTCCAATAATTATGGACTACAGGAATCAATGTTTTAAATCGACTCGCACTGCATCTACCATGCATCTTGGAACGTAATACATGTACTTAATTCACTTGTTTATTTATTTATTTATTTATATATTCATTTATTATAAGTCTTATTCATGGATTTTGGTTACTTTCATCTTTTGAAAAAATCGAATAAATATTTATTTATTGAGTATATCGTTGGTGTCAATAAGACGTTATCCACGTACTGACGTAATACAAATAAAATGTTAATTAACAATAATATATACCACAATATATGCGCTTAAACTTAATCTTAAATGGTTATTAAATACGATGATATTTTTAGGATAATTGCAATTTCGTTGTAGTTATCTAAAATGAAAATAAAAACAGATCTGTGAGAAAGTGTTTTTCTATTTTTGTCACGTTCAACTAGATGAAAGATGTATAAATGACACATTGTATGATCATAATAAACCAAATACAGTGAACACATTTACATTTACATTCGAATACATATTCAGGAGTCTGACTGATGTTAATGTTCTTTACAATGTGCTTTCAGACATAATTGGTGTCGGTAAATCAAACCTACTAACAAATAAGATGTTAGTAAAACACATTTGTTTCTATTTCATAATTGTTCATATCTGTCAAATTTTCTGTGCCTTTCATTCGGTTACTGAAATACATATCATTTTGTTCATTACTTTTCTTTTTTTTAAACTTATCTGTGCTTTTCATCCGGTTACTCAGTAATCCTCCTTTTTTCTTCAAGAAACACTTCTTGTAAACCCAATATAGGATAACGATAGCAAATCCCTCAACAATCGCAAAAAATTGTGTGGATCATCGGTATCGTCATCATTTCAGCCATGTTGGTGTATCCCTGAAGTATGAGATAATTTATCAAACTCAAGGCAAGTGCTCCATTTTGGATTCCAGTCTCAAAAGCAACGGTTTTGGCTTGCTTAGGCATAAGTCCAAATAACCTAGATAGGAAATACCCAACGGTGAAGGCAGTGAAAGGATAAAGAGTGCCAACACACCATGGCCTCCAACCAGTAGCGAAGACATGTGGGAACACTACAACACTAAGTATTATGAAGAGAACAATTTGAATGTTGACAATGATGTTCAACACCTAGAATAAAAAGATAAACATATGATTATTAATCAGTAATTTTAAGGTAGCGGAATAGTTTTTTGGGCACTTTTCACATTTTTTTTTGAAAATCACAAGCATAGCTCCATAAGCATGCCACATACATTAGTGTATTTATTTTATTGAAAAATAATATCTTGTTCAAGTAAACTGTTTTTTTCTGTGTGCAACAAATACCCAAGTTTTTGTTTATCCAGTGTACACCCCAT